AGCCATCTATAGGGAAACGGCGGGAGCAAAGTTGTTCACCTAATATTATTTGCATATGTGGGATAATTTTAGCAGCCTGCTACGGGTTATATATTTTCACATATTTCTTTTTTTAATATAGCACAAATGTGAATACTGCGGATGGCTTTTCAGTTTTAACATAAACTTTGTTGATCACGGCTACATACATTGCGCTTCTACACATTCTTACGTATAAAATATCTGATCTCCATGGTACGTATTTAACCAGACGCGTAAATAATAATAGCCTATCGAGAATTCATTTAGTATTTCTGTTCTATTGTACAACAGAAGGCCCGATCTGTTATTGGTTAGTTTTACGAAGTTATTGGTTACGCTTTACGAAAATTTAACGAAATACGCGCCATATAAATGTCGATTTTTAGAATGACGTAATTTCTAGTAAATTACAAGAATATGCAGATTATACTTACGCAAGTTATGTCTCATGTTACGGCACACTCAAGCTGCCTCCCCATGCGGCGTAACTTGCATTAGCGTAATTTGCGTCAGCCAATCAAATCCGCCGTGATAATTGGGTAATTGAGACGATTCGATTGACTGACGCAAGTTACGATTATGTAAGTAACGCCGCATGGGGAGGCAACTTCAGTAGACTGATTGGAAATTTTTTGTCTATTTTTTTGTCTAATATGGTTCAAAGTGAACTTTAGGATCTCAAAGCTTACCTTAAATTGTTATGCTGGACAAAAAAATGTTCAATCGATTCACCGACAGCAAAATAAACCAAGCTGATCACGTTGTGCGGATCAGCCTATATTTTGGTATAATATGTTACTTTCATATTGATAATACTACTATATAGTGAGTCGTCCTATACTACTTGTAAGAGGGACCCTTCTCAGAAGTGAATACAAAAGATGATATAAATACACACACACACACACATATGTTAAAATATATTTTATCTTTTTATTGGCAGAGACATTAATTCGACGCATGCGCATTACGTTCAGAATAGAGAGAGAGAGAGAGAGAGAGAGGAAAATATATTCCCGCACCGAGGTTATGAGACAGGATTTCTCTCTCATCCTGGCCATATAGGGTACGTTCGGGGAGACGCTATTTAATACTACCGCGCAATTCTATCCTTGTTGTACATGTAAAGAATAATAAAGATAGAATGACGCAGTAGCGTTAAATAACGTCTCCTCGAACACACTCATAGTAGTATTATATATATGGTTACTTCTTACTTGTGACGTTATCGTACGAGGACAGCCGAAGTGAGGACACAAGAGCCTTAAATAACAAAATTCCTATTCAGAATTATTAATAAATTGACTTATGTCGACATCGTTGCAAGCGCGTTCAAAACACGAGCCATTGTGCTTATTAGCTGTACAAATCAATTGCATGTTCACTTTATTTATGGATCGAATGAATAAAAAATATCTTCCCAGAAGAATTATCTTTTACTCGAAGAAGGAACAATGAATTCTATATTTGACGATTTTAGTGGATTTTTTTCTTTCTATTTCCAATAAATACTGCTTAAACGAATATTTGGAAATTTTTATGTATTCTGCATATCTTTTTTTTCTTTATTCTCCACAATTTATTTACAAAAAGATATTCTATCCATAATGTATACATACATTATTATAGGTTATAAGAAATATGTCCCTCTGTATATATTTATTCCTTCTATTTTACATATTAAAGATCTCTAACATCGAAGATAAAGGCAAAATAATGGTGATAACATATTGTCGATAATAATATGCACGTATTTTAAATTATATCCGTGAGCAATTTACAAAGCCTTTTGAAGGTATTCGTCAAATAGAAATATGGAAATGGATGGATCGCGTTCCATCAGCATTTTCTTCAAATCGTTTGTATAACCCGCCAATTGTCTCACACGTTCGGACAACGATGGTATGAAGCGTTCCTCGATGTAATGAGCAACACCCGCATCTTGTTTGGTATGATGCTGTTCTTGAGCATGGATTCGCAATGCTTCATTGGCAAGCTGCTTCTCAGTATCGAGTGCCTTCGACAAACTGTTCAACTCATTCAGTTCCAACACTCTGCTATCCTTGACCTGCGAACAATAATATATAAATCATAACGTATTCCTTTTCCAAGCATGAAAATCATATACATAAATATATAGTATTTACATTTTTCTTAAAGCGTGGAAGCTGATTGAAGTTCATTTTGCCACCGCGCTGTGCGATATATTTAATTAAATTTATAGCGTCTTCCCATGATTGATCGGAAAGTTTACGATACAATCCTTTAAATCCTTCCCGATTTGCTTCATAGTTACCAAAATGTGTGGACATCAGCAGAAATTCAAAGCTGGTCTCAATATTGGCATTTGTGTACGCTTGAAGTTCAGCCTGAAGTAAGTCGATCGCTCCGAATTTAGCGTTACAATTTGGAATTAATAGATTATCTAGAAACATCAATAAGAAAACGTTCTTATCGAAAGATTTGTTTGAGATATAGGTATTCATTTATCATACAGATTTTACTATTAAATGAGAAAAATCCTTTTTCCTTTTTCTTTATATGTATATGTGTATATACATATGTAATTACATATCATAATGTATATAATATATAAGTGCAATTTCAAGAAAACTTGAACAATTTATATGACTGATTATTTTTGTACAGGGTGTCCCATTTCTTGCGACTTTAATTTTACCAAAAGAATCCCCTGAATAATTTCAAGTTAACTTCTCTTCAATGGAAATGTCGAGACACCAATAGTTACCGAGATATAAGCGATCGAAAAAGTGGAGCTTTTCGTGAATTACGCTTAGAGTGACCAAACGGACAACAAAATTGTCGTCTCCAATTGATTTCAAATGGACTTTAACGGAATTTTAATTTGACTTGGCCGAAAACGTATGTTGAAGAATGAAAAGTTGTCATAAATGAAAAATTAACTAAATTGTTTCAGAGAATCTCTCGGTAAAATTCAAGTCGTAAGAACTGCGAGATACCCAATATAAATTTTCATTATATCATAAGTATATATTTTCATTAATTATAATAAATATATTCATATACCAATTGTAGTAGGTCTGGTACTGCAAGCACTTTCAACATCGTCATAACAGAACTCTGCAGAGACCGCAGAGACCAGAAGAACAGACATTAATCCATAGAACATCTTTGCTAAAATTTAATATGTCATCGAGATTAAATGTCACTTTTTGCACACATATACTTGATACATATACTTGATACACTTGACATATATACACTTTATATATACATACTTTATATATATATATATATATATA